AGAAGGGGTGTAGCCCAAGACCACCCCCCAGATATATCATACCTATATCACAGAAAAGGTGGTCTACTACAGAAATCTGAGTGCGTTGTTTATCTCCTGTCTGGCAGGTCACCTGTTAATGGTCACTTGATTGGATTGCCAGTCTTTTGTAATGATAAATACTTAGTTCCTGAGCCAGGTCACAGGCTCACCCTATTCATACACAGACATACCCTTAAGACAGGATTTGTGAACAAAAAGACAATGGGGAGGCTTTTCCATTTTTCTTCGACCTTGCAGAGAAATATTTGAGGTCAATTTGGAAGGGACAAAATGGTTTCAGGACTTTTTCTGTGGGGTTTCAGATATGTGGTTTATATATGCAGTTATGAACATTTATGTTATACACACACACACACACACACACATATATATATCCTTAAAATTCTTATAACACCAAGCATGATGGACCGCCGGTGGCCCCCGAGTTCCATTCATGTGGTCTGGTGGAAGGCTGTGGAAGACTAGATAATATCCGTGCTTGGCCTCGTGTTTGTTTGATCTATTTTCCTAACAATGGAAACTGAGACTGTTTTCATCAGGGTTGGATTATCAAACAGGTTGGGAAGGTTCTGTCCTCAGCCAGTGGCTTTTGTATCACACAGCCTTGGTACAATCTACAATTCCTCCTCTGAAAACTTACCCACTAAAAGGCCTTTTCTCTGGACTAAAGAAAGTGATTTTCTTAATGCGGTGCTGGCTTTGACGAGCAGGCTGTTTTATTTTTCTTCTCATTTAATGCAGTATGGAAAAAATATTATGCTCATTTGACAGTACACTTATCGCCATTGTGATTTATTGTCTTCCTGGCTTTCTTTTCAACAGAAGGTCCCAGAGCAGGTGACTGCAGATAAAAAAACATAATTCAAGCATTGGGAAAAGACAAAACCCACTCACAACCCCCAAACCAATAATCCATATAGTGCTATGGAGGTGGGTGGGTGGGCAGCACACTTTAAAGTTTATCAAGTGGTCCACTGAGGCTCCCACAGTGGACGTTGGGCAGGGGCAGGGGAGTTTTGAAAGTCACTGTGCTGGATGTCCAAATAGCCTTGTAAAAACCCCAAGTGTTCTGAAAGGACTTCCACAATGAAAGAGCTCTGGAGCTTTGCATTCAAAGATGGTGAGATGCCTTTGCCTGCAAGTGGGACTTCTCTTCCAAAGAGCTTGAGAGCAAAGCTGGACACCCACAGGACCCCTGACCATTAGGTCCAGTCGTGACCGACTCTGGGGTTGCGGCGCTCATCTCGCTTTACTGGCCGAGGGAGCCGGCATACAGCTTCCTGGTCATGTGGCCAGCATGACTAAGCTGCTTCTGGCGAACAAGAGCAGTGCACGGAAATGGCGTTTACCTACCTTCCCGCCGGAGTGGTACCTATTTATCTACTTTCACTTGACGTGCTTTCGAACTGCTAGGTTGGCAGGAGCAGGGACCGAGCAATGGGAGCTCACCCCGTTGCTGGGATTCAAACCGCCGACCTTCTGATTGGCAAGTCCTAGGCTCTGTGGTTTAACCCACAGCGCCACCCGCGTCCCGGACACCCACAGAGACCCCTCCAATTGCTGCCAAGCAGCGCCTGGCTGGGACAATCAGCTGGTTGGAAGCGTGGCTGAGTTTGCGCGGAATGCAGAGCAATGTAGCGAATGAGCAGTGGAGGCTGGTGGAGAACAGGTGTGAAGTGAGCAGAAGTTGCGCATCCACATCCACACCAACACCTAACATACATTCAAAGCACCTGACACCCTCCAAAGAATTCTGGGAATTGTAGTTTGTGAAAGGTGCTGGGAATCAGATGGGAAAACAACAGGATACTTGGGTGGGAGTCACTTTAAATGTATGGTGTGGACCTTCTGGCTGTTGTTCTTGTGGAATTACAACAACAACAGTTCTCTTATTTGTACCCTGCTTATCTGACTGGGTTGCCCCAGCCACCTTCCAATGTTTGGCTTTGATTTCCTCTGAAGTATTTGGCTTGGCTGATTGCATGGGCGCTCTCGTTTCTGGCCAGGTCCCTGTGTGGGCCAAGCTTGCTTGGGGGCAATGAGGTGGGGTGGGGTGGCTCATGTGGGGGTGCCTCAACTAATGGCCGTAGTTCCTTGGCAGAGCCTGGCATGCTGAGGTTCCAGGGTCGATCCCCTGTGGCATCTCAAGGGAAGAACCCTGCCTGAAATGTCCTCACTGCACACCCCTAACTCTAATCAAGTTAAAAAGCACTGTTCATTTGCGGATTCCACTTCCCACGTCCCTCCACACCGAGAATTTCCTTTCAAAAATAGACATCTTGTCCAAATGATGGGTACAAAAAAGATCGCAAACTCTGACAACACAAAATGCAAGCAGGCAATAATGGATACTTTAAAAAAGAATTTGAGGAGAACTATTTAAATGTGTGGGTGGCGCTGCGGGTTAAACCACAGAGCCTAGGGCTTGCCGATCAGAAGGTCGGCGGTTCAAATCCCCATGAGTTCCCGTTGCTGGGTCCCTGCTCCTGCCAACCTAGCAGTTTGAAAGCACGTCAAAGTGCAAGTAGATAAATAGGTACTGCTCCGGCGGGAAGGTAAACAGCGTTTCCGTGCGCTGCTCTGGTTTGCCAGAAGGGGCTTAGTCATGCTGGCCACATGACCCGGAAGCTGTGTGCCGGTCCCTCGGCCAATAAAGCGAGATGAAGGCCACAACCCCAGAGTCATCCACAACTGGACCTAACAGTCAGGGGTCCTTTACCTTTTTTATTTAAATATGTTAGTAGCAGCAGCAGGAGACTGGCTAGCGAGGTGGTTGGACCTTTGGAGGACAGATCTCTGTGCTGATCTTCTAACAAAAATGTCCCTAAGGTTGAGGACTGGAAAGTAGTCAGTGTAGCACTAATTTTTAAAAAGGGATCCAGGGGAGATTAGCTTGATGAGAAATTGACAGGAAGGGTTCTTATAGTTAAGATAACCAAGCATGCAGAAGAACAAGCCTTGCTGAAGCAGAACCAGCATGGCTTCTGCAAGAGCAAGTAGAGTTTTTTGAGAGTGTCCACAAGCCTATAGAAAGAGGGGATCTGGTTGACATTGTGTACTCAGACTTTCAAAAAGCTTTTGAACAATACCTCACCAAAGATTCCCAAGCTTGTCATAGACTGATTTATTTATTTACTTTATTTAAAATATGTCTGTGCTGCCATCCCAATTGCAAAAGATCCCGAGGGTGCCTCTTTGGTTGTGTGATGCACCTTTGCTTTGGCTGTCCCTCTACGGGCATGTTTCAGGCATCAGCACCCTCAACCCAGCTGTTTAAGAGCAGCAGGAGAGAGAGGGATGTGAGGGGAATGGGCACAGCAGGACTGTCTGGCAGGAGAGTCTCCTGGTCCTGATAGGATTATCTTCCTCAAATATTGCTCCAAAGCTGCCACCCCCACCTTTGAAAAGTGCCTTGAGTGGAATTTATGTGATGTTCTTCGAATTTCACCTAAGCTCTGCATATCTAAATTCCTGGAGCACCTGAAAGTTTGTCTCTGCTTTATGTTTTATTACTGTTGTTCATACTGGGTGCTGCTTGTTTTATAATGACATTTAGTAATGACTCCCCTCCCCCTTTATTAAACAACTTTGGCTATCTTGAGTAAAACTCCATGGTGCTTTGATCAATCCAGTTATCATTAGGCAAGCCTCCCCATTTTCTGCAGAGGGGTCTTTTCAGGACAGGATAATTTGCAGAAGTGGGCACTAGCCTTCATGTTTTTTTTAGTCCTTGTTTGCTGTCATGTGGACTAGTAACTTTTCTGCCTTTTTTGTTTTTAATAAGAAGGGGTGCAGTTGATCCAAAGCTATACACATTGACATCGAATTTGATCTTGGCAGGAGAAGCAAGCATGGATTGAACTCCATGGTGCCTCATTTTGTCTTGATTGCAGCCACTGCAGACCCTCCCAAGTGTCCCTATTTTCCAGAGATAGTCCTGGATTTACAGCTGTCCCGGTTTCTGATTTGATGCTGGAATGTCCTGCTTCTCCTTAGGACGTTCCTGTTTTCACCAGCGAAATATTGGAGGGTATGGAATTATGTGACCTCCTGAGCCAAGGAAATAAGTAACCTTACAACCTTTGGAAGACGTCTAAAGGCATCCCTGTATAGTTTTCTTATGTTTTTATATATGTTGGAAGCTACCCAGAGTGGCTGGGACAATCCAGCTGGATGGGTTGGGTATAAGTAATATTTTTGCTTTGTTTTGTTGTGGAATAGGACATCCCTATTTTCATCAGAGAAATGTTGGAGGGTATGCATGCTGTATTTATTTATTTCATATTCTTTTCATTTCATTTATATCCTGCTTGCAGAAGCGTAACTAAGGGGGGCGGGGACACACTAGGGGCCACACTGTGGGGGGCAGCACTTCCTGCAGGGCCTGCAGTGCACCGGAGCCATGCGTCTCTCCTGGGAGTGATGTGATGGCTCAGGCTCCTGCAGGCTTGTGCACGCTGCTGCCTGCTTGATTGTAAAACAAGCAACCAACCAACCTGCAAAGTGGTTTACAAGAAAAATATGCCATTTTTGTTGGTGCCACAGTACATAAAAATGGTCCTGGGCTATGCAGGCAAATAACAGTGTCCCCGAGAAAGTGCTGAGCGTTTTCCACTTGCCATCTACTCCCAGCACTCTCCCTGTCTGGTGTTATGGAAAAATCTAGGTGCAAGGCTGCTCATTCACCGAGCTCGCCTGCGGGTCCCTGCAGAATAAAGGAAGGAGTCCAGCCACCAACCAGAGCAAATAGCTATAGACCAAAGTTTACTGCGCAACAGGTTCAAAGAAGAAAGTTTGAACCCTGAGAATGGGGCAACAAGAACTTTTAAAACTTCCCACCACATCCCAGGATACAGTTCACACAGCATCATTGATACCTCATCTTTACATCACCGACAGGTCACAAAAGGGGAGGGGTAGACAGGGGTTACACTAGTTCAACCTTGGCAAACATGTCCAGACAAGTCCTTGGTACAAGATTAGCATAAGCAGACATGTCAGGGCTCGAGACCCAGGTATAAGATTAGCATAGACAAACACCTCTGAAGTCCCACCACCCAAAGTACAATAGAAGTTCCTTTGCATGTCTGGCCCCTTGGCAAGTCTGGTGATGGGATTAGGCTTTCCTTGGCCAACAATCAGCTCAGTAATTGTCACCTCTAGGCACTTCCTGGAGTCCTTTTCTCAAGGGCAAAATAGCTTTGGAATGGAGGAAACTGGCAAAGGAGTTGATTTTATATGATTGTTAAAGCTAGGTAACTTCCCTGAACTGTCAAGCTGAAAGGATACATTCAGGCATAATATTTGTAACATTTAACAACTTTAAAGATGCGCCGCCCCCCGTAATCTCTGTAACACTGGGTATCAGACTGAAGCTGGATCAGGGCTTCTAGCAGCTTCCGGGTCCCAGAGGAGGGTGCTTTGCAGGCAGGCCTGAACCCCAGAAACAACACCTGGTTTCGAAAGGAGTTGCAAGGCTTCTGATTTCCTGTTCCTTAGGGAGAGCCCCAGCCTTTCAAGCCAACTCCAAACGCGCAGTGGAGTAAACAAAGCTTTGGAAATCCAGGAGTGGTGGGCACAGGGAGCAAGAATATATATTGCAGAGGCAGAGAGACGGCAGAGAGATGTGGGCGGCTGCTGCTGCTGCTTCTCTTACTTGCTCTCCTCCTTGTTATCACGACAGTCGTGTCTCCAGCACAGCAACAAAAGCGGAGTCTCTCTGGCTTGTGAAGGCGGCGGCGGCGGCGGCGGCTTCCAAACTTTAGAGCTTTCACAAATCTCTCCCTGCCTTTTCAGGCACTCAAAGGCTTCCTCAGGCACTTACTTGCTCCGAGAAAGATTATAGCAAAGCTTTCTGCTTTGTGCTTCTCCACCCAGGGGGTCTCCAGATTGCTGGGCCATTAGGCGCTTGAATGACCTCCACCCCCCCTTCCTTTTTTTTGGTGGTGGTGGTGAGATATTTCTAAACTCCCTTTTTCACACTGGCTTTTGATGGCTCCTTAATGGCCCACACCAGAGCCAGGGCAAAGGACATCGCTTCATCCCGATGGAGGAGGAGGGGCCAGCCTCCTCTCTTTCCTTTGGCCTGGAAGGCAGTTGAAACCGAACCAATCCACTTCGTTTTGATCTTCCTCTTCCTCCTTCCGTGGAACATCATCTGGGATTCAGGCAAGGAACATCTGTGCGTCCTAGCAAGGTGCAAAAATATACCCCACCCCCAAGACACCCTCCAAGTGGTCCCTATTTTCCAGGGACAGTCCCGGATTTAAAAGAAGCCACCCCTGCAAGGATCCTGTACATGTTTACTCACGAGTAAGTCCCACTGCCTTTAATGAGGCTTGCTTCCAGGGAGACATGCCATTGACTGCAGCCTAAATGTCCATTTCGACAGCAGAGGTCGGCATGAATTTGAATCTGTGAGCAGAAAATTTGATTCCTGCGGGGTTTTGATCCCCATAGAGGGTGTCTGTGGGGGTTGGTTTTTTTTTAGGCGGGGGGTGGTGGATTCTGCCCTTGGGGTCGTCTTCTTCTTTTAACAACCTTGGGGGTGCGTTGACCTGCAAAAAAGTCCAATGGCTTCTTCAAGGGCACAGCATGCAGGAGAAGTTTCAACCACGCATATCCTCGCCCCCCTCCCGCACCCCCGAGCCATTAATTTCAGCTGATAAATCTGCAGAGCTGTCTCAAATAATGTCAGGAGGAGCAGCGTCGGGAGCAAATTGATAAAATGAAACAGCAGTTTGGTCACCGAGGTTGGACGGGATCCGTACGCAAATTGCAGAGAAGCCCAGCAGAATCTTTGCCTCCTCCCGCCGCCGCTGCCGCCCGGCAACCCCACCTCCCTGGCCAGCCAGCCGGCATGGATTCTCCTCTGCCCCATTTATGATGATAGGAAGTGAGCGGATAAAACACAGAGCTTGTGTGACAGGGCAGGCAGCAGGCTAGGGCAGGCCTGGAGAACTGATTGTGGCAGGGCGGGGTGTGTGCGTGTGCTCCACAGATGCTCCTGGCCCAAGAGGCCTGTCATCCCTGGCCAAAGGTGCCCCAGGCATCAAGATGAGGGTGTCAGACTAGGGCTGGAGAGCCCGGGTGACATGAGACTGAGCTACCTCTCCTTCTAGCTTACCTGACAGGGGTGTTGCGAAGGCAAAAGGGGTGAGCCCCAAGCTCTTTGAAGTGGCATAACAATATAATGACATATGTATGCACAGTGCTTTTTTCTGTGAGGACGCAGGGGTATGCATACTCCTAAACATCTTGTGAATCTAAGTTTTGCCTCACTGAGGAGCAGTAATTCAATATGAGTAGGAAAAAGAGAGTACCCCTAAATATTTTTTTAAGAAAAAAGCACTCTCTCTGTGTGTGTGTGTGTGTGTGTGTGTGTGTGAAATGTTTTATTTGAAGAAGCTGCACAAGTGAGCAGGGAACTGCCCTCACAATGACAATTTGGCTTTTGACAGTTTTTAAAATCCTCCTCTCTGGTTTTCTTCTGTTTTCCTTGGTGTTTTCTAAATTGGCGTTACTGTTTGTGATGCCTTTCGATTGCCTTGTGGCCCCTTGCGAAGGCAATTCAGAAGCACTTCCCTTAAATATTCATTAATGCTTCAGTGGGTTATTAGAATCGGTCTGTTCTGCACGGGGCAGGGGGGCTCTATGGCCCCCTGCTTTGGGCCTGAAATGTGGGCCATTTGACAGAAAGGCTTGGCTTCCAAACTTTTTATCATTTTTTTCGCCCTCCTCTGCATACCTTCCAACTTGCCAATATCCTGGACACAGGACTCCAGGTGGGGTCTCACCAAGGCAGAATAGTGTGTTGCTATGACTTCCTTTCATCTAGACACTAGACTTTTGTTGATGCAGCCTAGAATTGCCTAGCATCCTGCCAGGGGAAAGCACTGGGGGATTTTACATGCTTGGCAATCCTGCCCAGACCAGCCCCTCCGGGGTGGCTGGGGCCCATTGGGACTGCTAGGGCAGAAGGCAGGAAACCCAAACAGCCCATGGAGCCAGCGCCAAGGCCAGGCAGAGCCAGGCAGGTTAGGGTAGGCTGAGATCAGGCGGAGTCTTCAGTCCAAATGGAGCCAGCCTCCGTTGCAGCCTCTGCACTTGAAACAGGCTTGGAATGGGGAGGGGAATTTCAAGGCCACAAGATCTGGCAGGAGATTTGGGGGCCAGCACAAAACTACCCTGGTCTCAGGCCAAGGTGCCACTGGTTGACTGTCAGAACTGAGGCTAGATTTGCCTGGGTGCTGAACTAGTGCTGGGAGCTTTGCACTGCCTCTCCCTCCCCTGGGACAGTGAGGGTGGTTCTGAGTTCGAGATGCGCCTCCTTTGGTCTTCCGAGGCAGAGAGTTGCCCAGAAAATACCCTTTTAGAAAGCTGTGTCCTTTGTCCTCCTCTGTTGCAAAGGCTTCTGGGAAGGCCCGGAGGCAAAGCAAAGAGGAACCCAGGAAGCAGCAGCAGTGTGCAAAATGGGAGAGGCAGGGTTCCTTGAAAAAGAAAACAAGAACTCTTTCCCAATGGGAGTCTAACACTTTTGCTGCTTGCAACAACAGGTGCAAACACCTGCAGGTGAGATTCAGTACTGAACTGTGTGCGCGCCCCCAACGCACACGCAGGCAGCCACACCCCCTTCCTTCCCTCCACCTGGTGCCCTCCAGATGTTATGGGATGCAACTCCCACCAGCCCTTGCAGCCAACATGGCTGTGCTCTAACCACCAGACCCAGCAGCGTACGGACGTGCTGCCTTCACGGGTCCACAGCATGTAGAGGACACCAGGTTGGCCAAGCTTGTTATATTAACCACACATACACACACACACACACACACACACACACAAATGCAGAGAAGATGGAAGCAAAACAGTTAATGGCAAAAAATTGCCACATTTCCTTGCTTAAAAAAATAAGAATGCTCCGTACGAATGCAGCCTGAGGGTACAAAATGTGCCGAGGATGCAAAGCCATCCAAGGTAGCAAAATCTGCCAAAGAGCCAGCCCCCACCCTCCAAAAAAAAGGGGGGTTTTCAGCAAGCAAATGAAACGGCTGAGCAGTAACATGGCAGATAAATTTGAGGCTGACAAAAGTGCCAAGTGAGGCACAATTGCAGCCGTGCAGGGCAGTAGCAGTGCCTGGATTCTCAATGAGCTGCTTCTCCTTACGAGAGAGGAGGCAAGGGTAGAAAGTTGTGGGGAAGCACAACTTGCTCTTGCGAGAGCTCAGGACCCCAAAAAATGAGCGTCCCAATGTTGATAAGCGGATTTGGGAGCTTCTGGTATTTGCCAGTGGGTGTGTCTCACAGATGGCCTCTGACCAAATGCTAACGTATGCCCTAGGACAGGGGTCAGCAAGGTTTATCTTGCCTGGGCTGGATCGGTCCCGTGGAGATACTTCTGTGGGCCAGATTGCGGGTGCGCGCGCAATTTTCGGTGTCTGCGCAGACGTGATTTTTGGTGCCGCAGAAGCAAGTCCCCATGCCACGCTGCGCCGCTTTAGCGCAGCGTGTGAGTGGGTGGCTCGGTTTGGGGGCGGCTCATGGGCTGGTCAAATGACCTCTGCGGGCCACTTCCGGCCCATGGGCCTTAGGTTGCTGATCCCTGCCCTAGGAAGTGGGCAGTCTGTGGCACAGAGAGTCTTCCTGCACTTCTGCAGCCGGAGGCAGCAGTAAGAGGGAGAGAGGTGGGGAGTGTCTCCCTCCTGTTGAGCCTGCGCAGATAAAAAGGCAGCCACGTCAATCAAAGGAGAGACCCCCCTGATCTCTAGAACTCTGTTGGCGGCAGAAGCAGTTTTTTTTGCGGGGAGCATGAAGGGAAGTCTGGACTTCCTGGGAGCAGTCGAGTAACCTCGTGACCCTCAGAGTCCTTGTAGGAAACTTCTAGGATGTTGCACGAGCAAATTCAGGCATATGAGAAGCTGTGCCTCACTTACGTGGCTCTTTCCAGTGGGAGGTCCATTTCCACACACCCCTCCACTCTGCTAGATGAGGATAGTTTTGATCAGTGCTTTTTTTCTGGGGGTACGCAGGGGTACGCATATCCCTAAACATTTTGTGACTCTAATGGGAGAAGAAACTGAATTTTTAATTTTTTTTAGTTTCTTCTCTAGCACGGTGAATCGTCATTTCCGTTGTTACCCCCAATGGCAGCCTCGTTTCGTGTCACGGTGCTTCTTGAGTCTCAGACAGAAGCGAGCATTTAATGTGTGAAGTAGGAGTTGGAATCTAGCATGGTGATTGGTCAGTTTCGTTGTATTTACTGTTTTTATTTTTCCAGATTGGAGCTATAAAATGGTGATTTTATTGAGTCAAAATGAGAGTACCCCTAAACCTTTATTTGATATTTTATGCTGACTTGGATGTTACCTGATTTCAGTACTGACTCGTCCACCAAACTGGGGGGTTTGGTCAACATTAATTCTACTCGAGTATAGACCCGTTGCAGTTAGTAGGCATGGCTAACATAGCTCCCCTGATGTCAGTGAGACTACTCTGAGAACAACGTAGCTGGGTTCAACCTGCACACATGGCCCCCAAATTCTGGAAGGGCCCCCTTCCCACCTCGCAGGGGCAGCAGAAAGCAGCACCCACAGCAGGGAGGGCAGAATTCCAGCTCCCAGCATGAATCTTCACCCTGAAGCATTTGGCGAAAGTGGCGTTTCTTCCTTGGCTGACGCGGTCCTTAGGACATGGCTTGTAGTCTGAAGTTGTTCCTCACTCTGGCATTGTGTGAACAATGACTTTAACAACTAAATAAACAATTAAATAAAGGAATCAAAATAAGTAGAAATGTGGAAGCTATTGAGCACCCAGGCTCAGGTCAAGGTTCTGGTTCTGGTATATGAAGCCCTACCCAGCTTAGGACCAGGAGATCTGAAAGATCATCCCACCCCTTATATGCTCTGTGGCTGAGGCCCTCTTGCTGATACTAACTTATCAGGACATCCTTTCCATACAATGTAGGAATTGGCCTTTAGTGTGGTAGCCCCTCTGCAGTGCCCTCCCCTAGAATATTAAACAAGCACTGTCTCTGTTGTCTTTTTGGTATCTCCTGGAGACCTTCCTCTTCCAGTGAGCCCTTTGAGTGGAGATCTTTGTCCCAGTCTGCAGCAGTACAATGACACCTTGGTTCTTGAACAATCAGTTCCGGGAGTCCGTTTGACTCCTGAAACTGTTCAAAAACCAAGGCACGGCTTCTGATTGGCTGCTGGAGCTTCCTGCACTCAAGCGGAAGCCGCGTTGGATGTTTGGCTTCCGAAAAACGTTCGCAAACCGGAACACTTACTTCCGGGTTTGTGGCGTTCGGGAGCTGATCTGTTTGACAACTAAGCCGCTCTAGAACCAAGGTACCACTGTACTGGGATTTGTTTCTTGCATAGAATAGAATCACAGAATCCTAGATTTGAAAGGAACCAAGAGTTGTCACCTGATCCAACCCCCTGCAATGCAGGAATCTTTTAGCCTAACGTGGGGCTCGAACCCACAACCCTGAGATAAAGAGTCTCATGCTTTTCTGACCAAGCTATTTATTGCTTTAGCACTTGTTGTTTGCTGGCCTGGACTCCTTTCGGAGGAGGGGTGTAATATGAATTTAATTAATAAGATGGAGTGCAGATGGCTCACCTAACGGTTACATGCAGAGCCCTGGCATATTTCTCTTGGGCCAGTGGCTGTCCGTGTTAGACTCCTTCATTTCTCTCTGGGGTAAAGGAGTAACCTCCTTCTGGAGCAGCCCCCAAGAACCCCCCAAGCCTGCTGGCCATTCCCGCCCCCCAGCCCCACTCTCTCTGGCTGTGACTAGGGCAGCATTAGGGGTGCAACGACAAAGCTGTGAGTTCTGCACCTTGCTTTCCTTATCACCCTGCCAGATTCAACGAAGGAGAGCCCAGGAGAGTTCCTGTCCAAGGCTGGCAGGCGACAGTCCCTTGGAGCGCAGCAATCTTGTTTGGGTGTGGAGCAACTTCCGCTGCCCACGTAGCTCGGGAGCATTTTATTAAAACTGCTTCCCTTTCCTTATTATTATCTCTCTCCCCCCCCCCACATGCTTCTGTTGGCGGGTAATAACAGGCGATATTTTATTTATCCCCGATCCCGTCAGGACAAGCTCAGATCTAATCGGAACAGACTTCTGCTTGAATTATTGAGAACAGACCACAGCAAAGCAAAGGGAAAGAGAGGTGGGTGTTCGCGTAGGAAGGAGGGAGGGAGGGAGATGGGCCAGCGCCAGCCTGTGTGGCCGACACATTTTGGAAGAGGGAGCCAAAAGGCTGTGGGGAGGCCCTGCAAAGGGATCTCAGCCCTGGAATCAGTGTTAGAAACCCAGATATATCAGCCAGGTGCCAAACAGCTCCCTAAACCAAGGTTAGAGTCACCAAAACAGAACGTCTAGCTGCCATTTGGGGGCAAGATGGCTCCAAAGTCTTATTTTTTCAAAGGATTGATGGGCTGTGATTGGTTATCAGCTAAACACCTGGCTAGTTCAGATGACAGGTCAAGAGCTTTGAGAACTTAAAGAATAAAAATCACTTGATCTAGGGACAGTTCACATACGTGTTGGCCTATTCTGACCTCTTTTTCGTAATGGTGACACGGACCGTTCACAGTGTAAAAATATTCTTCACAATTATTATTATTGGAAGTTTGACGTTTTGCTATGTTTTATATATGCTGTGGGACACGGGTGGCGCTGTGGGTTAAACCGATCAGAAGGTTGGTCCCCATGACGGGGTGAGCTCCCGTTGCTCAGTCCCTGCTCCTGCCAACCTAGCAGTTCAAAAGCACATCAAAGTGCAAGTGGATAAATAGGTACCACTCTGGCGGGAAGGTAAACGGCGTTTCCATGCGCTGCTCTGGTTCTCCAGAAGCGGCTTAGTCATGCTGGCCACATGACCCGGAAGCTGTACGCCGGCTCCCTCGGCCAATAAAGCGAGATGAGCGCCACAACCCCAGAGTCGGTCACGACTGGACCTAGTGGTCAGGGGTCCCTTTACCTTTATATATGCTGTAAGCCGCTCAGAGTGGTGAGGGGAACCCAGCCAGATGGAGTATAATTAATAAAATAATTACTACTAATACTACTAATACTACCACTACTACTTCCTGCTCAGGCTGCACAGAAAAGGCATTTTGGTTTCTGGAATTTATTCTGATTGAGCAGATAAAGTACAACTGATAGAATTCTACAGGATGGGGTATTAGTGTGTGAAAATGGTCCAGATCCAATGATCCCCAGGCATGCACCTCCAGATGGTGGAGACGTCAGGCACCATCCTGGCACCCAGGCATCTTCACTTGGTCGCAAGTGGCCAATAGCCAGGTGGAAAATGCGCCTGGCTAATTTTGAACACTGCCAGCAAGAGCCAAAGTAGCAATATAGGAGAAGAATTCCCTTTCGCATGCACAGAGTGCCTTTTCTCTTTAATAGCTGGGTGGGAGTGAGAAGCAAGCCTGGTGCAGCTTCTCTTTTTGCTCTACAGCTGTGAAAGCAGGAGCAGCATATCATGAAATATAAAAGTCCACAATGGCTTAGAGCAGTGGTTCCCAAAGTGAGTGGTATAACCCCCCCCGGGGGGGGGTCAGTGGAATTACCTAGAAGAGCACAAAGAGGCAAGTGGGTGGCGAGGGGTGGTGCTGGAGGTGGGAATGACTATCCGACTTGGAAAAACTGACATCAATTTTGCATCAGTTTCATTTAATTTATTAAACTACAGGGTTTTAATTGGATTTTGAGTAAATGTGCCATTAATTGTTACTGTTTTGAATTTTATTGTGCTATTATCTTCCTTAGTGGGTTGTGCAAACTGCTGTTATGAAGAATGTTTTCTATAGGGTAGAGAGCACTGGGGATGAGTTGGTGGAACCAAGGGGGCGGTGGCCCCCAAACGTTTGGGAACAACTGAATTAGATGAAGATGGCGGACAGACCCGGCAGCTGGCTGGCAGAACCCCACACCTCAGACCAAGAGCCCTCCAGCCTGGTCCCAATCCCACACCCTCTTCTGGTCCCCACTCAGTCGCCAGAGGCTACTGTGGGGTGGATGTAGCCCTTAAAAGAACACAGCAAAGCTCTGCTGGACCAGACCAAAGGCCCACCAAGCCCACTACCTTTTCCCCTAGAGTCAGCCACCCACAAATCAGCCCCCAGTAAGCCCCAAAGCCAGACAGGGAGGCAGCAGCCCTGCCCGCTGCAGAACTCCCCACCCGCTGCAGCTCAGTTAATTAATACATTTATTTAGCAGAATTTGTACACCGCTGACTCATCAAAACCTCTAAGTGGTTTGCATAAAATATAAAAACTTAGGCTTCAGAGAGAGAGAGAGAGAGAGATGGAGACGGAAGAAAGAACTATTAGCAGAGGAAAAGGTGAGTGTTGCAGCTGAGTCTAACTAAAGATGTCTGTTTAAATTGGATCTCTCCACCCCCCTTGACACTTAGCGAAGCTCTTCAGTTTAATCAGGCAGCAGCAGAAATATCTAAAACTCTTAGGAACAAGGGAAGCAGTGCACCATGGGAAAGAAATGGGCACCGCGATTCTCTTTCCTAAGCATTTCTACCAAATTATCAGAGAGAATGTCCAACCCGCAGTGGAAGAATGTCCTGACAAGAATAGCTCCCTGTGACAACACCACCTCCAAGTGGGGGCGGGGGAGAGAGATTCGTCTTTTGAGTCCCCAAAGCATCTCTCTGCAGGGCCAGAGCTGGAAACTCCAGGAGATTGCTAAAACATGTTCCTTGCTCCTGGGTGCCTTGAACTGAACCTGCCTCTATCCAGTTCAGTAGGGAGATGTCTGCAGTCCTGCTGCCTTGCTGACTGGTATCCCCTGGGTCCCAACAGCCTCTCCCCAATCCTATCTCCCTACGAGGGAGGCCAGGTTGGAAAAGGGTTCAGAGGAGCACCACAAATATGGTACTCAGAGGGCTGGAAAAGAAGTCATCCAAGGAAAGGTTGAAAGAACTGGAGAAGTCTGAGGAAGGACACGATAGCCCTCTTCAGATCAATGGAGGGCTTCTAAGGGCCAAGGCTGCTTCAGAAGGCAGGATGAGGCCTCGCGGGCTTGAGTTACAGGAGGGAAGATTTCAGCTGAACAGCAGGAGAAAACTCTTGCGGGTAAGAATGATTTGACAGCGGAACCAGCAACCCAGTGGCAGCAGCTCTCTGGGGTCTCAGATGAGGTCCTTCCTAGCCCTACCCAGAGATGTTGACAGGGGCTGAACCTGAGACCTTCTGCATGCAGAGCGGATCCTGCACCACTGAGCTTTGGCCCCTTTCTCTCCTTCTCCCTTGGAGGTCAAATCTAGCCAGTCTATTCCAGGGGGCCAGCCAACACCAGTGCCCAATGGGACCGGGGTGCCCTCACCAGCTGGGATGCCCACTGGGATGCGCAAAAGGCTGGACATCACTTTCTGTTGGAGCGTCAGTTTACGATGACAATCTTCAGAGTCGGGCATAAAGTGGTCGCAGCTCAGTGCCACGGAAGGGGAGTTTGTGTTCGTGAGAACAGGCAACACTTGGGCGAAGGCACATATGAACTGTAGAATATTCCAGGAGGAGGCTGTTTGGTTGCTTCCATGGGCAGAGGGATCGGCAAAGCTCTTGTCTTTGGACATGGAAGCAGACCAGCTAAGCTGCCTATCTAAGCTTCGCTTTTAAACTGCAAAGGGATGCACTCTGATGAATCCAAAAACATGAGGAAGGAAGGATAATATCTAATAAATATATCTTTGCATAGTATCCATACACATTCCTGTACCGGCTCCTATGAAGAAATTTAAAATGTTTATAAATGTGTCAGTCCAGGAACGGCAGACTCTTCTGCTGAACTTCTAGCTGAACATCTTCCACCTGAATCTTCCATGGCTCTGATGAACACTATTGGGGCTCTTCTGCTCAGGTCCTGCTTGCAAGTTTCCCGTGGGGGGTATCTGGTTGGCCTGATCCAGCAGCCTCTCCTTATGATATCCGGTTCACAGCTGTGTTCTTCAAATATCTGAAGGACTGTCCGTCATACAGTAGACAGAGCAGACTCAGTCTCTGTTGCTCCAGTGGGTGGGAGCTTCAGGGAAGCAGATTTCAGCTGAACATGAGGAGAGGCTCTAAGGGTTGAGAGTTGCAGAACAGAATCCCTTGGGAGGGAGGGCACATTCCTCCCTGGAGACATTGAAGCAGCAGAGGGGTGCCCACCTTCTCAGGGGTGCATGGCAGGGGTTTGGTCTTGGTCCCAAGGGCTCCAGAATTCTGCATTGTTGCATCTTCACACACAGGCAGGCTCCCAGTGGAGAAGAGGGTTCTTTGGGCATTGCTGAGAGCACCACTTTTGCCCGCTGAGCGTGGCATCCGTGTCCTCTGCCATCATCTGTCTCCCACCATCTCTCCAACCCAAGGCAGTGTTTGTTCTTTCAATAGGAGATTTGTTAGAAAATCACGATTGCCTGAATATACGTTGCCACAGTTCAAAATACACTGATGCTTCTGCTGTTGATCTTATTTTATGCTTCTGATGTTATATCCCACTTTTCTCCAATGATGGAACTCATTGGCCACCTCCCATCCAGGCACTGACCAGACCCTGGGACCTCCTGATGCATGGAATGGCAGGCTCTCAGTGGATGGAGGCTTCCTCTATTGCATGCATTTGCAGTAAGGGCAGGATGTGGCCCATCCACTCTCCCTCAGGCAGAAGCAATCCTAACCCTGGCCAGGCAGGCGGCAGCGGGGCAGGACTGAGCACCACTGCCTTTGCAACCCTGCCACTCATGCCAGTTGGGTCAGAAGGCATCCTACGTATAATAGAGTTGAGCTCCCCCACCTGGTGTCCCTCTCCCTCTCTTCTCCAGTCTTCTTTCTCTTCTTATGGGTGTTTTTGTTGATGCTTATCTTCTGTTCCTTAATGTTTGTGGTTGGTCTGTCCAAGTTAAGTGCTGTTGAGGTGGCTTTTGTAGTGTAATTCTTGGACACGGATGTTAGTTCTAATTTGACAGTGGTTTGGAGGCTGTGCCTTGCAGAAATCACGAGGACCCGTGTTTTTGTGCCACGGTTGGGTGAGGGCACTGGTAAATGCTGGGCAGGTGATCATTCTTACAGCACAAACCATGTCAGCTTTAATCTGATGGGGAATGCCTTGGTAGGGCATGAGGAAAGCCTTGTGAAAACCATGAAGACTCGTGCCTTGGATTCATGGATTACGCTATAAAAATTCAGCACTTGCCTGGTCTCACCCCATGGAACAAAAACATAGAGCCAAGGCATGGAGCTTCAGGGCTTTTACAAGGCACTCGTCCACCCCTACCACTACTATCAAATTAAAATGGATAGGGTATGGAGGCAGCTGAGAATGTGATCATCAGTTGAATATGCCTCCCTGTGAGGAGGGATGTGCTTCAGCCACACGAGTGGCGAGAAGGATATCTGCAGAGCTGCTCCCCAGCCACTCCACCCTCCGTTGGGCCTGTTGGGAAGGGCATCCCAGATAAGGTTTGGAGAGCCAGTGGTGGTGTAATTATTAGAGTGTCCGACTAGGACCTGGGAGACCTGGGTTCAAATCCCTTCTACTTGGCCATGAAGCTCATTGGGTGACCTTGGGCCAGCCACTGCCTCCCAGCCTCATCTATCTCACAGGGCTGTTGGAATCATAGAATCACAGAATTGCAGAGTTTGAAGGGACCCCGACGGTCATCTAGTCCAACCCCTTGCAATGCAGGAATCGTTTTGCCCCACGTGGGGCTTGAACCCACAACCTTGAGATTAAGAGTCTCGTACTCTACCAGCCAAGCTATCCCAGCTGCTTATCCTGTTTTGAGGATAAAATGGGGAGGGGGAGAACTAGGTATATACCACCTTGAGCTCCTTGGAGGAAAGGTGAGATAAAGATGCAATAAATAAATAAGGTTCCCATGACATCCCAATGGAGGGGGAGAAGAGTCTGATGGCCTTCATCCTCATCCTCCTCTTCTTCGGCTGACCCCCACTGCTGCTTCCCTTTCACTCTGTCTCTGCCCCTCCACCAGCTCATTCTCTCCTCCCAATTCTGCTTCAGTGGGTCCAGACTAGGGGTAGGCAACCTAAGGCCCGTGGGCCGGATGCAGCCCAATCGCCTTCTCAATCTGGCCTGTGGACGGTCCAGGAATCAGTGTGTTTTTACATGAGTGGAATGTGTCCTTTTATTTAAAATGCATCTCTGGGTTATTTGTGGGGCATAGGAATTCGTTTATTTCCCCTCCCCCCCAAAAAATATAGTCCGGCCCACCCCGTGTTCTGAGGGACGGTGGACCGGCCCACGGCTGAAAAAGGTTGCTGACCCCTGGTCCTGACCTTCTTGCAGTGGGTGAGTGAGGGGGCAGGGAGGCCTTGGCAGGCAGTGCCTGTGTTGGCCTTCAAACACAGCCAACCACCCTGCTGTGTTGGGAGCCTCCTCCGCATTCTCCCAAGAGAATGGATGCCTGGATGCCTGCCCTGAAATCCCCCTTTGGGTGGCAACACCCGGGGCTCAAATCAAACCTTTTCTTCCAAACAGCATGGCTTTTTTGTCTCAACGCTTCACACCTAGGAATCTGGAGCAATTTTCCTAGCGGGAATCTGCTGCGTTCAGGAGACCCAAAACAAAACAAAAACGGGAAGCTTTTCTGCTACAGGGCCTTTGCTCCATCAGTGATGCAACCTGGGGGTCTGTGTCCCTCTCCCCCCCTTCCCGATTTCCTCCTCCCCTCTCCCTCCTTGCTTTCTTTCCCTCCCTCCCTCTCTCCTCTGCTGCCCGCTGCTCAGCTCCTTTGCACTGCAGTGCCTGACATAGAGTGGGAAATGATGATTAATGACAGAGGGAGGGGTTGGAGCATCCCCAAACTAACTCAATGCGTGGGGAGTGGGAAAATGTGTGTGTGTTGAGAGAGAGGGTGTCTCTCTCTCTGTGTGCGTGCCTACATCTCCACACTATTTGGACGGCTTCCAGAGTGGGGAGCAGCATCAGCCAGCTTTGTCTCTTGCAGCGAAAGCAAGCAAAGAGCCTTGTGCCGCCTTGAAGATGAGCAAATGGAGGAGGGCGGAAGCTTCCGCAGACCACAGACCATTCCCCCAGAGGCAGGAAGTGCTTTAGTTATGCAATCATTCTTAAATTTATATCCCACCTTTCCTGTGAGGAGCACAAGGTGATCTACACACAGGTCTTCCCCGGGCCCATTTTATCTTCAAAACAACCTTGGGGAGATGAGCTAGGCTAAGAGTCAAGTGGGCTTCATTGCTGAGTGGGGACTTGAACCCTGGTCTCCTAGGCCCACGTCCGACACTCTGAACCACTATGTCATGCTGGTCCTCTGAGCTGCTGAGATGTAAGAACCTAAGAAAAGCCTGCTGGATCAGGCCAATGGCCCATCTAAGTCCAGCATCCTGTTCTCATAGTGGACAAACAGATGCCCTAATGAGAAATCGGCATGCAAGTTTTGAGCACAAATCCCCTGCCCCTGTTTTCTAGGGGCAGCCCTGGATTTACAGAAGCTGTTCCAGTTTCTGATTTGATCCCAGAATGTCCCGCTTTTCCTTTGGACCTCCCTATTTTCATCTGAGAAACGTTGGAGGGTATGGAGTTCTGTGAAACCCCCAGCCCCAAGCCAAAGAGATAAGTAACTCTACAGTGGTACCTCGGGTTACAGACGCTTCAGGTTACAGACTCCGCTCACCCAGAAATATTACCTCGGGTTAAGAACTTTGCTTCAGGATGAGAACGTGCTCCGGTGGTGTGGCAGCAGCAGGAGGCCCCATTAGCTAAAGTGGTGCTTCAGGTTAAGAACAGTTTCAGGTTAAGAACGGACCTCCGGAACGAATTAAGTATTTAACCCGAGGTACCACTGTACAACCATTAGAAGACATCTGAAGGCAGCCCAGTATAGAGAAGCTTTTTAAAAAATGTTTCATGTTTTATTATGTTTATATATATGGTGGAAGCTGCCCAGAGTGGCTGTGGCAAGCCAGTCACATGGGTGGGGTATAAATAATAAAGGCCATCACTGCCTCGTGTGGGAATGAGTTCTGTAGTTTAGCCATGCACTGCATTAATAAGTATTTTCTTTTATCTGTCTTTCTGAATCTTCCGATATTCAGTTTCATTGGACGTCCCCAAGTTGGTGTTACGACACACACACAGAGAGACATGACACCTGCTCACTTTCACCATGCTATGCATAATTTTATGTATTTAGATATCTATTGCATTTCTAAGCTCCCCATTACCCCAAAGGGCTCCCAAAGGGCAAGGTATAAAATACTAATAAAATACATATATCAGAACCATAAAAATGAAAAGTTTTCTAGTTATGTAAAGCGTGACAGAGGTTGATGGTGTTACAGTAAGCTAACAGCACAGGCTTCTGCACCAAGGAGTTTGCACATACATGCAAACACGGGCTGAATCTACACAGATATTAAAAGAGGCTGCGAAAATGCTTTTAAAAAAACCAGACGTAAAATATATATGGAATTTTCCATTAGCTTAGCAGCGCCATCTAGTGTTACATTTGTATAATGCACTTAAAGCACACTTAAAACGTTATGTTTGCAGCTGAATAGCTGAGTCCGTGGAATATAGTGTTGGGGGGGGGTTGTAAACAGGGAATGGGAGAGGAAGGCATTGTCTGTGGATGTTGACAACTTTGTTATTAACAGTGACCCAAACAGTGCTGGTGACAGCACAAACATCCTGGCTTGGGTCAGCTTATTAACCCCTCTTCCCAACATAGAATTGAAACTCTTGACAAATTGTAGTTCAGTCATATCACACTGCAATCTCCCTTTCGATTTTCTCTCCCCCTTCCCCCGAGTGTAGGTACCTTAAGGTCAGTTGCAGAGAGTCTTGGGAGGGTGAAAACTGCCCCCCACCCCCGCTAGCACTGGTTTTTCAACCGTCTTGGGTGGCAGAAAGGTGTCCACTTCATTCTTCAGGCCTGTTTGTCCTGCACGGAAAGTGGAAGGCAGGCCCGGCTCGGAGCAGGTGGTGGCGTTTATATCTCACCCGGGAAGATGAGTGAGGAATGAACCCTTGATGAACTCTCTGGATCGTCATAGTAATTTCACACACCTCCGGTACTGGAAAACAAGCTCTGTGCATGAGCCTTGGCTCAACCGAGGCATTGGTTCTGGTGCATAGAAGAGGAGGAAAAGGAAGAAAAAGGAAAAGAAGAAGAAAATTGAAAAAGGAGGCTGCAGCCCCCAGATCCACCGAGCTCAGTGAGGCTGACTTCCAAGTAGGCATGTATCTGCCTGAGCTTTGCACGAAGGGTGAAGGCAGTTGCAGGAATGGCACAGAGTGACTGCTCAAGGCAACATTTGAAACCTCGGTCTCCCATCTGTGCAGGTGATGTTCTCCTGGTTTACTGTACAGAGGTGCCCTAAGTGGCAGGCTCTGCCAGCCTTGTGCCTCTCCAGATGTGTTGGATTAGTCTACAACTCCCATCGCCAGCCTAGTCCAGAACACCTGGAGGGCCCCAGATTTGGCGAAGGAGGCTCTGGGGGTTTCTCAGAGGTGACGTCGTCCCACTGGGCTTTTCCTCTTGTCTTCCTCTCCAGGGGAGCCTCAGCCGAACAGCAGGAATGGAAGCCGGGTGCTTATTTGTTGAGATGATTTCTATACCCCTTAACATTTTTAGACCAATCTCTTCAATCAAATACCGATAGAAATCAAAATGCAACCGAGTATTATAAATGGTAATCAAGCTGCATTATAGACGACAATGAGAGCTGAGTCCCCTTCAAGGGTTCTTGTCCTCAATCTGTGAAAGGGCTTTGCAAACATACCCAGTTTAGACCTGCTTCCCTTCCTGCCTGCCCTTGCCTTTGGGGTCACACAGCAAACTGCTCAGAATCTCCCTCCAGACCTTCTTGCTCAAGAGTGGGAGATCAAGAAGGGGCAAGGGGCTGGGAGTGCTTGTAGCCTCCATGGAGAAAGGCTCTTCAGAGCATCGCTGCAACACTGGCTATAACGGTCATTTTGTGGGGATGCAAAGCCAAGGGCTGGGGGCCACAGGGTGGAGGCTCTAGCCCTGCTTTGCACGCAGAATGTCCCAGGTTCAGTCCCCACCGGCACTGCTGCCCCTTCCTTGGGTTGATTTCTAGACTGTAGGCCTATCGGGGCAGAGACCTGTTGTCTCATTCTTTGAAATGTACCATGTAGACTGACAGCGTAATCACAACTGTATTTAAGAAGGGCAGGTTTTCGCAGGCGTAGCGTGGGTTGTCAGCACCCGGGGCAAGGCAAGTAATTTGCGCCCCCTAACCCGTGGATTTGCGCCCCCTAACCCATGGATTTGCGCCCCCTAACCCTAACCCCCCAGATGTTGCGCCCGGTGCGGCCGGCCCCCCCTGCACCCCCCACGCTACGCCACTGGGTCTTCGCTCCTCCATCCTGCTCCCTCTTTCCTCAAACAGAGTAACTCCATGCTAATTGCAGCAAACATTTTTCGTAAGCGCAGAAGTCATACAATAATGGAACTGTAAAGTTCGAAGGAACCCCAAGTGTCATCTAGTCCAACCCCCTGCAATGCAGGAGCCACAGCTAAAGAATCCCTGACAGATGGCCATCTAACAGCTTTTTACAAAGTCCACCCCCTTCTGAGGGACTTTGTACCACTGTCAAATGGCTCTTACTGTCAGGAAGTTCTTCCTAAGGTCCAAATCTCATCTTTTAAATTAATTGGTTTGGGTCCAACCCTCTGGAACAGTAGAAAAAAAAGGGGGTTATAGCTGGGAAGGGGGAAGTTGTGGCCCACAAGTAGTGCCCACAATAGTCCCCCTGATTTGC